AAGAGCAATTGTGAATGTAAACTGATGTTCTTGGCAGCTTTCATCATTGTATATGAGCTGATTTTCATTTGGATAGGATGGATCGAAATAATCTTCGTAAATAGAACCGTATGTGTTTATATTGCTCTGGCTGAAGAAAGTGTAAAGACCACTTGTGATAACATTCACTTGTATCGCTTCATAGTAATTACTTGACTCAGAACAAATAATAAAATACTTTGAACTGTTCGTTGTCAATTTTGATGCATAAACTGTTTGAACAACTGATGAAGTATTCACTAATCAAAAAGGAGATCGATTCAATCTTGTATAATATGGAAATAAATGTATACAACCAGAAATATTACTTTATTTTCTCTCTCGGATGAACACATCAAACACAAATGAAAGTAATATACATGTTGATATAAACGAAAATCACTATAATCTCACTTCAAGATGGTAGAACACACTTTGGGATATCGGTTGTGGTTGTAGAATAAGTTTAATTTCTACATCAACACTCACACGCAACCACCCACATCCACATCCATCACAACAAGAATCAACTGTAACAAATCTGAATTCAAGAAGAATTGTTCGGATGCTATTCATAATATACCGTTATATGATGAGGTTAATGTAGCTGTTTATGTAAAGCTTTTTTCTCATAATACAAATGTCATCTTAAAAAACAAGTGTTTATTTGTGGATATGCCAAACTCAATTAAATACTCATGCTAACGTTGACAGATATTCATTTCATAGTTGTAATGCAAACACTTACTAATATTTTTGAGATGAGCACTGTCTGGACCAGATACAAAGATCGAGAATGCACCTGTTTTGTTGGAATAAAAGGATGTCACAATCAGTATATATGTGATACTGGTTTCAAGAGCAATTGTGAATGTAAACTGATGTTCTTGGCAGCTTTCATCATCGTATACGAGCCGATTTTCATTTGGATAGGATGGATTGAAATAATCTTTGTAAATAGAACCGTATGTGTTTATATTGCTCTGGCTGAAGAAAGTGTAAAGACCACTTCTACGAACATTCACTTGTATCGCTTCATAGTAAGAATTTGAACTTGAACAACGACGTGAATACGTTGAACTGTTCGTTGTCAATTTTGATGCATAAACTGTTTGAACAACTGATGAAGTATTCACTAACGAATAAGAAAATTGATTCAATTTTGTATAATATGGAAATAAGTGTAAACAATTTGGAATTTTATTTTCTCGCTCAGATATGTTTACCGAAAGCGACTGGAAGTGATATGAATCTTAGTCTCTATCGAATAGAAATAGCTGTATATCATTTTGCGGAATGAGTTAATCTATATTTTCTACCGATGATGAATAAGTGTAGCTGATTATCCGTTAAGACACTATACATACTTACAAATACGACTGAAGCCGATATAGCTTTGACCAGATCCTTCAATTGAAAAGTTTCCTGTTCTATTTGGAAATGATGTTGTTATAACGAAAACGTATTTTATATTAGCTTCAAGAACAGCTATGACTTCAAATTGACCTTGCCTTTCATAATCTCCATTATATTTAAGCATATTTTTGGCCACATCAAATGGATTGAAGTCATTTTTGTAGATGCAACCATATGTGGTTTTCATCTTACTGTTGATCAGAAAAGCATAATATCCAGTTATAGTAACGTCCATTTGTATCGCTTCATAGTACGAATCTAACTCTGAACAATTTTTAAAATAAATTGAACTATTTGATGTCAGTGATGATAAATACATTGATTTTATTAGTAATAATGAATTATCTATTGAATGAAAAAAATCAATGAGTATTTCTATTTACAATAAAGAAAAGAAATGATTGCGCATATTCTTGGTTTGCTTTTTATTCTGTTTACTAGTGAGAGTTGCATCGTCTGTTTTAGAGTAATATTTTCAGTAGAGAAATGAAGGAAAACATGAAATAAAATATCTATTTAGCGTCCTTACAATAAGTATCGGTGTTAGCACTTAAAACTCGCATGTTCTTTTCAAGAGACACCGTTATAATTACAATAAAGAAATGTTATAAAATCTTGTATACAAAAAAGAGTATCATACTGGTTTAAGAAAGTCTAGTAAGTCATAGACTTACAAATGTATGACTTCTTCATTATCATCTTTATCTTTAAACTTTTCTTCTTCTTTTATAAATATAATGTAGAACATTAGTTTTTGTCGATATTTTTAAGTAAAACAATAAACTATCTAATGACACTATCTCATGAAGTTCTAGTCAATCTACGAGTATGGCATGACATCATCAAGAAAATGTCGGTTGAAAGTGACATTCAATCTTAATAAACTAAAATATTCTACTATTCTATACATTGTTGAAATATTACAAGAGCGACCCTCTGATCATTTGTTATTCTAATAAAGCATGTCTTGAATAACCATGTAAGGATGAAACTTCGTCCTTCTTTTCGTTGTTGGCACTTTTCTGTGAAGACACTAAACTACGTTTAAATCTCATTCCTTTGTGATAAGCCTGATTCTATTCTCGTCTGTCAGAAAAAATCATGACCGCAAATATAACATAATAGTTTTCTCATCTCGAAACTAATGTCAACATTCTGAATCTCTATGATTGCACCACAAGCTGTGATTAATACTCAACCATAGAGTCATTTCTCTCTGATAGATATTTTATATCTACGAATTCGAAAGCATTTTGAACAACTATGCAAAACTACCTTTCTGTTGATTTCAAAGCAATTTGTGAGACGTTTTATTTTGAAATATGGAATTCGATGCGAGAGATTTTTCTTCACATCGATATTTACTTTGAAATGGTTTTAGTTCGATAAAGATTTGACGAATTTCATTAAAAATTTTATTTCTCACGAATGTCTTACGTTTCATAAAACCACTGTGTGCATTATTTTCTACAGTCAGCAGCGGTAAGTGAGCGCAGATAATGGTGAATCAAAGAAAATTTATACAGAAAGTTCAACAAAAGGAACTGAATTCATCTCTGATTTTCCAAATAAATACATAGACATTCTAACTTTCATCAGTATCATGCAAGTAACTTGACAATAATGTTATCGATTGACTTTTGTAGAGAATCATGAATAAGTAAAGATTTTATTTTATAGCAATAGAATATTACGGTGAAACTTGAAATTTGAGTTTAATTATTCAATAGTTTAGTTCGAAATCTATCAGGAGTTTCATTTTCATCTTCATCTTTTATATTAGTTTTTCTTTTTAATTCTCTGAATAAATACTAATTGAAATAATATTAGAGACTTTATTCAATTATTCTAAACTTACCACATGATTCTTCATAATATTGAAATTTTTGAATTCGATGATTCTCTTGATCAGTAACAAACATGTTTCCAGAACGATCAAAACTAAAACTGAATGGACCACTCAATTGATTGGATTGTGAACCCTCTCCATAACACCCAACTAAACATCGAAAACCATTCAAGCTTGAACCAACAATTCGATGATTGTTATTATCCACAATAAATAAGTACTTCTCAGCATCTAATATAATTCCAGTCGGATAATTAAGTGTAATTGTTGGATTTAGTGATGCCCTTCCAGCTACTGTGATACCATTTGATTCTCCCGATTGGAACAACTGAACTCGCTCATTGTCATAATCTACCACATATAAATCCAAATTCACATCGACAAAAATTCCAACAGGACTATTGAGTTGATTCGAGGCTGATCCGGAAATACCTGTTCCACCAGCAACACGAGTTGAAGTCATCAGAGAATCATTTAGTGATCTTTTCACTACTCGATGATAGTCGCTCATTGAACAGTAAAGAGTGTTATTGATATCGACAAACAAACCAGTACAGAATGAGTTGACATTCATCACCGTGACAAAGGTTTTTGTTGCTGCAATCCATCGCTGCACTCGACCATCCTCATATCCATCATCAATGTAAATATCACCATTTGATGTCACGAAGAGCGAAGCGGGCCCTTTAAAATTACCAGAAATAATCTTTGTTGGATTGACACTCTTTTCTTGCCACATTACAACTGTATTACTATCTCGATTAGCGACATAGATTGTGTTGTTTGCGTTCACAAAAATGGAGACAGGATATTCACCAACAATCGATTGATTAGCAAAAGTAATTCCATTGGAATTCCAAGTGGCTGTTGAACAAAACTTTGGTCGATTGAATGAAAGAGCTAAAAACAAGAAAAATAGAAAAAATATTAGAGAAGAACTGTAAATCAGTGCTGCCACCTTGTCAAGTCCAAAAAGCAGAAAATGACAGAAATTTCGCTATCAAAAAGCAGAAGAAAAAAACAGAAAAGATGTTTCTTACGTAAATATACTATGAAGCTTACATGGAACATAATAATTAAAAACTGCGGATAAACTGTGTTTCGTACCACCCTCCCTGAACATCTGGCAACATGTCTGAGTGTTCGTAAAGGAAATCGGTTTTTAACGGTTTCGTGCAGGTATTCGAGAGTAACGAATGTCTGAAAACTTTTGATTTCTTGTATGACTAGTGTTATGAAACTTTTTTCTATAGAAGATCGTAAAAGAAGAAACAATAGGTGTTTAACGGACTAACTAGATGTTCAAGAAAGACAGAATTTCTAGAGTGAAACTGATTTAACCTTACAGAGCTTAACGATCAAGCTTGTATTTAGCATAAAGATATAAATTAACGTTGAGCCACAGCTCATAAATGAATTTAACAGGAGATCGTTACGCACACAATGATTTCTCGTACGTTTTTTTAACAATAAGGATAACTATTGAATATTTTGGGTATTAGTTATGATCTACCGCGCGTATTTTCTCCTGAAAATACTGCTTTTTCAGCTGAATCTCGATCGGCATCTCTAATTCGATAATGTGTTATTTTCAAGTATTTTTCGTTTTCGCAGAGTTCGTAACGATCACCTGGTACAGAATATCAGAATGACGAAGTGGTACGAAACCTATTTTCCCCAAAATTGCGTACTAAATTCTAATCTTAATCAAACAAAATAAAGAAAAAGAATGGATTAACAATTAAGTGGAATTATTCAACTTAAGTATACAATATTAAGAGAAACAGCCAGCCATTAGTAAACACAAGACAGACAATTCAAGTAAGAAATAGAACAACATAGTACTATAAGTGATTATTGATAAAACTTTGTTTTTAGAATTCGAAAAATGATCATTCAGATCAGAATTATTGATTACAAGTATGAGTGAACTAATATTTAAAAAAGCACAAAATTTTTTAAAAAACAGATAGGACAGAAAAAAAGCAGAATTTTTCTGCTAAAAGCTGAAGAGGTGGCAGCACTGACTGTAAACGAAATGAAATTGTTAATTTATACATTCGTAGAAGAAAAATAAAATTTCTTTAAAGAAATTTCTGATTACAAAGATATTTAGGAGTGTTTGTGGACATTGACTTTAGGAATGATTTTTATTAGTTTTCATATGAAACATGAATTGTGATATTGTTAAAATGTTTCTGTTTAAAACATCGATGTTGATCATTCTAGATAAAATATTTTCGTATTACTTTTTCTTGAAAAATCTTCTGAAAGATCTGAATAGATTGTATCAAAGGAAATAGTTGGATAAAAGAAATTATTTATTTAAGGAACAATTATCAACAGAAAAGAAGAAATTTTTGTCAATCAAATTTCTGTCTTTGCAATTTTCAACATTTCATTTGCCTTTTACAAATGAATTTTAATTATCAAGCTGGTTTTTTAAAAAAAGTTCTGCACATATGTCATTGCAGATATTTTTGTTTTTGAGATATTTATTCAAACACAAATTTCGAATTTCAATTTTCAAACATTTATTCAAAGTTTCTCAAACTTTTTTTTGATAAACATCTAAAGTTAATTAAGAGAAGAAGTCAAAGGAAAACCATAAATATCATTATGTTATCTTAGGTGTATACTATTGAAAATATAACTCGATTTATCTTAGGAAATTTTATTGAAAAATTAAAAATAATGCCACTTCACGTCATACCGGTACTGAATGGAAAAAGAAAGAAAAGTGTGAAGAAAAAATACGATTTTTTATGATCCGCAAAAATTCCTCTTTTCTCTCTATAGACATTCTTCATACACATAATGATCTAATTAATCTTTTTCAACCATTTTTGTTATCTTTCATTTTTTTTTGTATTAGAAAGTCTTCATTAACTTCTATTACTTATCTATTCACATCTCTTCATTTGATTCAGCTTTTCTTCAACTTACCAAAAGAATCTTTCATTAATAAAAATTTTTGAATTCGATGATTGTCTTGATCAGTAACAAATATGTTTCCAGAACGATCGAAACTAAAACTAAATGGCTTCTTTAATTGATTGGATTGTGAACCCATTCCATAACATCCAACTAAACATCGAAAACCATTCAAGCTTGAACCAACAATTCGATGATTGTTATTATCCACAATGAATAAATATTTCTCAGCATCTAATATAATTCCACTAGGACAAAAAAGTGTAATTGTTGAATTTAGTGATGTATTTCCAGCTACTGTGATAGCATTTGATTTTCCCAACTGGAACAACTGAACTCGATCATTACTACAGTCTGCCACATATAAATCCAAATTCACATCGACAAAAATTCCAGTAGGATTAAAGAGTTGATTCGAAGCTGATCCGTTAATACCTGTTCCACCAGCAACACGAGTTGATGTCATCAGAGAATCATTTAATGATCTTTTCGTTACTTGATGATGATTATACATTGAACAGTAAAGAGTATCATTAATATCGACAAACAAACCATAACATGACGAGTCGACATTCATCACTGTGACAAAGATATTTGTTTCTGCTATCCATTTCTGCACTCGACCATTCTTCTCGCCGTCACCAATATAAATATCACCATTCGATGTAACAAAGAGAGACCAAGGTCTTGTAAAATTACCACGGATGATCTTTGTTCGATCGATACTCTCTTCTTGCCACATTACAACTGTATTGTCATCTCGATTAGCGACATAGATTGTGTTGTTTGTGCTCACAAAAATGGCTTTAGGATTGGAGCCAACAATAGATTGATTAGCAATAGTAATTCCATTTGAATCCCAAATGGGTGTTGGACCAAACTTTGGTTGATTGAATGAAAGAGCTAAAAACAAGAAAAATAGAAAGAATAGTAGAGAAGAATTGGAAACAAAATGAAATTCCTAATTCATGTTTTTTCTTGAACAAATTCATTCTGAAAACATTTTTATCCCTGTTGCTCTATTTTCACGGATGACTTGTAAATATAAACTAATAGAGAGCTGAATTCATCCAAGAAGATTCACTTTATTTATTGATTTGTTTTATTGTAGAAGAAAAATAATTATGTTCGGCCCATGAAAACATATGATTATCATTCAAGATAAAAAAAAGTCAAATAACTTTTCTTATTTGTCCATCGAAAATCAGTTTGAAGGAGGAAAAAGAATAGTTTAGAATGAAAATGACTTTATTAAAACTGATTGAGATCTAAACAAAAATGTCTTTGAAATTCAGAATCAATTCTCATTTTCACATCAAAAACATTTGGAATTCATTCATGTTAAGTCATTTCAATTCAATATAATTAGTATGTGAAAGAGAGGAGAAAATTCTCTTGCTAATCTTTAATTAAATAGCCATAGTCGAAAAAATTATTGTATAGAAATCTTTTCGGATAAAAATAAGAT